TATTACACACACCTCTTTTGCTTATAGCACATACACATATAAAAACTAGCTCAGTCTCTTAGAATTTTTCGTGTTACATGGTGGACGCTGTTGTGCACACCGATCACTTGAATCATGCACACATGTTACTTGTTTTCAATTTTTCATCATTCACTCTTCTGCGCACACGTTTATTTTAAGTCATGCACAGACACTAGTGCTGTACAAATTACATGGTGGACTTTGTGGTGCACACGTATATCTACATTCAAGCACACACTCTAGTGTTGTGTATATCTCGTGATGGACTCTGTTGCTTACGTCAAACTCGTATCCGTCAAGGAAAACACACGATTAACTTTAATTAAATTCGAGATGTACCTATTTGTGCTGTATGTAGCGTCAAATGACATGACATCACCGAAGCATGCAAAATTCCTACGCGATTCTGCATTTGCCCAGAATAACCTAGATAATTGAGTTTCTTCATCTATGTCGAAATCGAAATAGAAGTCGAAGTTTATCTCTTTTCTTTTGAACATGTCTTCTATCACCATTTGGGCGTCTGCCTCTGCTATATAGGCCAATAGGTCCTTCCTAAAATTGCAGAAGTCAATGCATGTTGCCCCTATATCAGTAAAACTTCCTACCATCTCTTTGAACAGTCTGAAAGCTTTTGTGGGACCTATGTTTGCCTTCGCACAGTTAGCCAAAATTGTTTTGTGGCCGATGTTAAGCTTCATATTTATCTTTAAAAAAGGTCTGCCCTCATCCGAGCATAGACAGTATGTATGTCGCAGCTCGATTGCATGGACTTTGTATCCGCTAGTGTTAGACTTTGTCATTACCATACGCGCCTTACAGCCTACCCTATTGGACACTCTCATCCGTCTCTTTCGTTCTTTGGAGTTATTTTTGGATTCCTTCCTTTCGGCCTTGTATCCCTCCCGTGAGCACACCATGTATTTAATTGCCACTTCCCCCGCTTTATTTCTACGCTTTGCACCATGCCTAACATCAAATCCGACCGCCGTAGCGTATTGTCGGTAGAAATGAATCCCGATCTCTACTGTTTCGAATTGCTGTCCTTCATATGTTGTCTTCTCATTTTGTGTTGCAGGTTTCCAGTATCACCATCATCGCCTATTTCCATTACACAGTCTTGTGTATCGTGTTCACATTGTTCTTCTCCTGTTGACCATCAAAAATTAAGATTAACATTGTATTCCATTCTTAATGATGTGCATGAGCTTTCAAAAACTTTTAATCTGAATAACCTTTAATGGAATTTCTATGGTGTGCGCAACACCCAATATCGTCATTCTTTCACTGCCCTTAAGGTGTTTTTTGCATTATTTCAAATGTGGTATATTCTGGAGTGTGTGCACAACACTATCTCACTGTGTGCATGGTTGCTTAATCGTGTTTTTTTCATTCCAATAGCATAGTATTCATCAGCGTCCTCATGATTAGGGTTTCCCATTGCTCTTATATGAATACATTTTCACCAATACATTATTACCAAATTCACGCAATAATTGATTCTGAATCATAAATATACTGAACCACATACAATTAAATAATTAATCACACTCTGTCCTTCAACTAGCATAATCAAGTTGGAATGATTACCTACTAGTGGTGGCGACGTATACTCCATGTGCGCGTCCATGAGTTCTCGTTCGATGCCTAGCTGGAATCTCTTGTCTATAGTCTGATTGCCGTTGGAGTAGAATGACGTTGATGGGGGTTGCGTGTGTGTTGCTATTGTTTAATCCTAGTGTAATTATTCTACTTTATTTTAGGTTAAATACCAAAATCATATTTTTACCGTAATTAGGATACCATGCATTTGTCTTAATTGTCCTTTTAATATCTATTTACGATCCTGGCTTAATATTTTCCCTTAAATCTAATTCATTTATCTAATATAATCTAATGGCCCATATTTGTCCACATATTTGTATTTTAAGGGGGATTTGCATGTAAATGCAACTATATATATATATATGTGTGTGTGTGTGTGTGTGTGTGTGTGTGTGTGTGTGTGTGTGTGCGTGTGCGTGTGTGTGTGTGTGTGTGTGTGTGTGTGTGTGTGTGTGTGCAGGGACGGAGCCAGGACGGAACAATGCGGGGGGCCAAACTACGATTGAAGTACTAAATTAAATACATTGATATCCCGTTAACATATCTCAAAATAATCATTACATTACAAATTCAATAAAGTTTAGAATAAATTATTTATAATTGAATCTATATTAAATTATTTTGCAATATGCTTTTCAATGCACATTACTTTGCATTGTACGGTTGAAAGAATGAAAACATTCACGCATGTTTTAAAAGACTATTGATTATTTCTTGAAAAACCCTCTTCACAACATAACATAATAGCAATTGTTTTCTCAAATACATATACTACACAATTGTTACATTATTATGCATTTTAAATTAAATACAAAATTTATCACACAACCACAAATTTACATAATTAATCAAACAAATGCACTTGATATCCATGATTTAGAATCAAACAAAATAATTATTTAAGATAAACAATAGAATATGAAACAAAAATTAACCAAACAAGTAGCTATAAATAAAAATAAAAAATAAAAATTAACTTGAAAAATATGCATAGATTTTGTTAATGACAAATTATCTTATTATAACGTATATGCCGCATATATGCATGGTTCTAGGCAGAGAAACAAGTAAGTAGGTTAAATGGAATTTAATTTGAATGTGAGTCAACAATATATGGAATACATAATTTGAAATAGGGGAGAACTGAAAAAGTTGAGAAGATGAAAAAATTTATAACTTTACCTGTAAGATTAATTAAGTGGAGGGGGGCCAAATATTTTGAAAAAACAACAAAATTTTAAAATTCTATATAATATTTTTTAAAAAAAATTTAATACATATATAATATTAAAAAATTTTGAGGTGGGGGAGGGGGGCCAAGGCCCCCCTAAACATACACTTACCTCCGTCCCTGTGTGTGTGTGTGTGAAAAATCGACTTGTTCATTCCAACACTACCTACAATTAACAGGTGCACGTTAATTTATTTTATTTGTGTAACCCGTTGAAAGCGTACCGATAATTATAGACTGCACCGTGTCTCCGAAAATCACTTTTGACAATATTTAATAAACATAACACAAAATTCCTTTCGTCTATTTTTCTTGCATTGTAAGGCAACCTATATAAATACGTAGTAAACTACGACATTGTTACAATTTCGTAACACAAACAACACAAGTTATATACGAACTCTATTAAGAGAGTCCTAAGAAGATAGGTATGGTGATGCTGCTGTACACCATGACAATGGGTGTTGACAACAAATATATAATCATCAATTAAAATTGCTTAGGTAGTCAGCATGATTGATTTGCATTCTCGGCAGACATCCATGTTTATAAACGTTGAAATTTAAAGTATGAATTTTAGTCCTTCAATTAAGGTTCCAACTTTGAATAAAATTTTTCTTTTCCACACACAATCACACAAGTTTTGGATGACTATTTCCATTTTAATCTTTAACCTAAAGTTAAGGCAGACTTCATGTGCAGAATGTGATTTTCTCTTTTAATTTACTTGACATATCATTAATTAAATATAAAATTTCTATTATAAGAAAATGATGACTACAACAAATAAATAAATAAAAGCAAAGATACTTTTATAATTAGTGGAAGTAAAATTAGTATTTTATCTACACAAATGTCAACATAATTTTTTATTTATAATAACCAACATTCTTATTATTTGATATTATAAAAATTTTGAAATTAAAATATCAAAAAATTTACTTTCTTAAACGAAAATTGATTATGGTAATATAATATATACTTATGACACTCATGTCATCAAATTAAAGTCTGCATTCCTTGTCTCTTTAACAAGATATTTCAAGTTTGAGTGCCACAAAATTCTGGAAATTATTGAGATTCTCTATTTAAATTATCTATCATTGATATGTTGTGATTCAACAAAAAGATTTACTTGTTTGGCCTAAAAACAAAATTTTTCTTTTTAAAAAGTTTATAAATTCAGAATTCATATCTTAAAAACATGTTTAAATTTCCTTTGAAAAGTTTCAAATTGAAACATCTAAAAAAAAAAAAGGAGTAAATTACTATTTTTATTCCCAAAAAAAAAAAAAAAAAAAAAAAAGTTTATATAAGCTCATATTTGGCTCATGCTATGACTTCTTAGAGTAGATAAAAGTTAATAAATTCTTAATTAAACAACCAGTTTATTTGCTTGGTTGAGTTAAGATTAAAAGTTAAACTACTTAATTAAGGTTGATTTCTACTGCCAAAAAGCTTTCGTTATGGGACAATTGGCAAATTAAAATATAATTTGTAGGACACCAAAAAAAAATATATATATATAATTTGTAGGGTTTGAAGACATTACATTGTTATAAAAAGTAATCACATTGTTACAAATTTAACTAATTTTTCATTTGAGTCAATTAATTATGGGCAATCTAGATTGATTCTGATTTACTTCCTTGTGATTCTTTTGACGACTAGGGTGTGCTCACCTTTAGATAGTGGTTGACAAGGAAAATAAGAAATGAGCAAATACCAATTTTGATCCCATAAGTATTAGCAAAATGATAGTTTTGGTTCACATGTTTAATTACTACCAATTTTCATCCACGACTATTATTTTTGTATCAAAATTAATCGTGTCTGTCAACCCTCTGGCTAAAATATGTCTGAATGTGTAATTTGTAAGGTATGTTTGTCCATTCATACATTAATAGAATTGTCATATTATACATGATTGAACAGAAATACCCATACAAATTACATAATCCGACATGTTTTAATCAGAGGAATAACCAACGTGATAAATTTTGGTACGAAAATAATTGTCATGGATAAAAATTGATAATAATTAAATATGTAAACTAAAAGTGTCATTTTGTTAATATTTGTGAGACCGAAATTGGTATTTGCTCAAAAAGAAACTGTATCCATAAAGTAATTTTTGCAAATATTTTTTTCCAGATATTCAATTTTTAGGTCATAATGTAATTTGGCAATTTGCTATTATTTCCTCCTGACACATCATTCGTAAACCCGTCCCGATCTGACTATACAAAACATTTGACAAATACAAGAATCGGAAGTACAATTTTAACCTCCCTATTTGGTGCGGAGTTATCACGTTCATTGGTCAACCCTCCGTCACCGTTAACTAACTGCCGTCGGATGATTATCTACTACTACCACAGCCTCTCCATGAACGTTACCGTTTACTACAGCATTTGCTGCCGGCGCCTGCGCCGGCGCATTTTCACCGGCCCACCGTTCCGCCGGTGCACATTCCGACTTATGACGAGATCGCCAATCCATCGCCTGACAAGCCCTCGAACAGTAATTCACTACGCCGCAAACGGAGCACCTCCTAAACTCATGCACCCGGGTCTCGAGTCTTCCGCAACCCACGTGAGAGCACAATCGGAGCCCCGGGTCCGAACCCGAACCCGGAACCCCGTTGTTTTTAGCGGCGAACCACTCGGTTAAGAAATTATTAGCCGGGTGAGGCTCCGGAGCCGGAACGTTACACCCGAAATCACTCAACAAGGGGCAGTCGAGGCGCCGGTGGGAAAGTGGGTCCCACGTAAGCCACGCGCCGCTCAACAGAGCCGGCGAGGAGGTCGTGGCGGCGAGGGCGGCGGCCAGCTCGCGAGCATTGGCTTGGACGAGGAACCGCCGCCCCTCAACGACGTTCCGCTTCACGCCGTACCCGTCTTGGAGACAGTGGCCCAACTCACGGAGGGCGTCGACGTGGCCGACAAAAGCGGCTCGGGCGCAGAGGGCCACCCCGGCTCGGAGGTCCTTGTCGTTCTTGGAGCCGCCGCTGCCGTTGAACTGAATAACGGCCAGAGAGTAAAGCGCCGGCGCGTGCGAGCTAATCGCCGCTTTTGCCATCAGCGACGCTCCGCTCCCTCGATTTTCCATACAGTAGAACCGAATCTGTACGTGGCCATCCAAAAAATCAAACATTTTTCTCTCTTTTTTCCCAATATCATATATATATATATATATATATATATATATATATATATATATATATATATATATATACACAGATCAGAGCTATCTAGCAAATTAAACACTGACCATGCCAAGAATGTAGCAAGCTTCAACGTTTCCGGCATCGGCGCAGAGCTTGAGGAAGCGGTGAGCCGAGTGGGACCATCTCTGAGCTTTTACGGCACCCATTTTCTTCGAAGCTTTGGATAACACCATTCCATGGACTCCCAATCCATTAAGCCTTTTACATCTGTAACCAAACAGAACAGCCATTACCCATCATTTATAAACTGATTTTCAATTTTGGGAAAAGATCGAGAGAAGAAAAAGACGGCGGCGCCGCGGCGGAGCATACGTGAGCAGAACGCTAATGAAATCTGCGGGGCACTCGGCGGCGGAACTGAGTTTGGAAAGAATTGAGAGGACGAGGTCGTCCGGCAAGGAATCGAACAAGTCGGGGGATTTCCCGACATTATTGTCCGACCAAATCTTCGACCTTTTCCGACGTTCTCCGGCGGCGGCGGCGCAATACTCTTTACTCCTTTTCTCTCGATTCGTATAACAAAATCCACTTCTGGTTCTCATTCCTTCAATTCCTATCTCTGAAATAAATCAATCAATAAATGAATAGAATGAAAAGAAATTTGAACATATGTATCGATTGGGTTTGTTTGTGTCTCCAAATCTCCAAAGAAAAAAAGAGGAGTGAAGGGCTTTATATAAATGAAGGCGTGGGAAAGAAAGAGAAGAGAAGAACGGAATGTATACGTACAGACAGAGATACAAAAACGTAACCAGGCTGGAGAGTGGTTGTTTTATTACAAATCTACCCTTCTTGGTCAAATCCCGCTGACCTTTCTTTTTCTTCTATATATTACGGAGTATATATGATATGAAATTATGATCATTCCTATTTTGCATTTACAACAAACTTTTATTATCAAATATTTTATGCATGTGTACTGCTAATTCTTTAATTACAACCATGAGAACGGTATAAAGTGTATTAGATGAATTGTAATTACAATTGTACGACTGGGGATATATACAAGAGGAATTATAGGGAAGTTAAGACTGGGAGTCATATTATGACTCAAATACAAGAGTCTTAATATTTTTTCTCAAACACATGGTATATTAGTAACATGTAGTTTGTCTTAAAAAAAGAAAACCTAAGACCAGGCAAAGCTTTAGTAAATATATCGTTGATCTTTTGTTGAGATAAAATTAACTTGAATGTCTCCAGCAACAACTTTATCTCGTACAAAATGATAGTCTATCTCTATGTGCTTGGTGCGAGCATGAAAAATGAGATTAGCACACATACACGTAGCCCCAAGGTTGTTACACCATAATTTTGGGACAGAGATACCTGAATTCTTGATTTCTCGCAGAAGTGACATAATCCATATTACCTCAGCACAAACATATGCTAGAGCTTTAAATTCAGCCTCAGTAGAAGATCTAGCAACAGTTCTTTGTTTCTTGCAGACCCAGGACACAAGATTAGAGCCAAGAAACACAGCAAAGCCACTTGTAGATTTTCAGTCCTCCGGATAGCCAGCCTAGTCAGAATCAGAGAAGGCGTGAATTTTTCTTGAAGATGACTTTTTGACTCGTAAACCAAAAGAAACAGTTCTTTTAACATACCTCAAAACTCGTTTTAATTGTTCCCAATGAGAAACTGTAGGAGCATGCATGTGCTGACACAACTGATTGACTGCAAATGAAAGATCCGGACGAGTGATAGTTAAATACTGTAATGCACCAGCCAGACTCATGTACTGTGTGGGATCATCGTACAAGCCTGGAACAATGATCACAAGTTTCGAAGTAGAAATAGGAGTAGATAGTTCTTTACATTCTTCAATTCCAACACGTTTTAGAATGTCATTCATGTATCGTTGTTGTGAAAGTAAAATTACATCATTGCATTTAACTGTTTCAATTCCAAGGAAGCATCCAGGTTCACCAAGATCTCTAATTTTAAATATAGTGGAAAGTTTTGACACTAGCTGAGTAACTAGATCTTGATCACTCCCCATCATAAGTATATCATCCACATAAACTAACAGGTATACAGAATTAGATCCTTGTGAGTAGTAAAACAAGGATGCATCCGTTTTTGATGCCTCAAAATCAACGGATATTAAGAAGTTGTGAAAACAATTAAACCAAGCCTAGGTGCCTGTATTAACCCATAGAGGGACCTTTTCAGTAAGCAAATATGATTTGGATACTGAGCATCAATATACACAGGTGGTTGCTACATGTATACAATTTCAGATAGATTTCCCTTTAAAAAGACATTATAAGCATCAAATTGCCTAATTGTCCACCCAGATGATAAAGCCAGAGAAAGAACAAACCTGACAGTAGGCTTGACCACTGGACTAAAAGTATCAAAGAAATCTTGTCCAGGCACCTAATTAAACCCCTTTGCTACAAGTCGTGCTTTATGTCTCTCAATGGAGTCGTTTGCCTTTCGTTTTGTACGAAAGACCCACTTACACCCAATAATATTCATATCTGCATGTGATGGTACAAGATGCCATGTTTGATTCTGGAGAAGAGCATTAAATTCTTGATCCATAGCTTCACGCCATTCTGGATACTTAACCGCCTAAATGTAAGAAGTGGGATCCGAAGGACAAACCTGCACCGTTAAAGCTGATGGTGGAGCCTGAGACCGACTCCGAGGGCTCATCTCGTGAGTTCAAACTGTGGACTTCACGAATTTGCCTCGAGGTCGGCCACGAGGCTGTTTAGCCGGCTAGACCGACTGTTCATGCGGCTCGTGCCCGGGCAGGGTGGGTGGCTCGTTGGCAGTGTGTAGCGGTGAAGGCGGTGCGGTAGTGTCGCTACCGGGTGCGACGGCAGTGGTGCGGTAGTGGAACAGTGGCAGTAGCCATGGGACAAAAACTTATTCAGCCCACGGAGAAGTCATTACTGTTTGAGATGCCTGCAAGGTATTTTTAGTAGCAAAGGGATAAAGTGTCTTATCAAACCTTACATGCTTGCACACATAAATCTTGTTAGTCTGTAAGTCCATGCACCTATACCCCCGAAACGACTCAGGATAACCTAAGAAGATACATGGAGAGAACCGATATGACATTTTGTGACGATTGTATGGTCTGAGATACGGATAACATAGACACCCAAAGACACGAAGAAAATAATATGAGGGATGGGAGTTATGCGATTTTAAATGAGGACTGAGTTATTTAACACAACGGATGACATTGTGTTGATTAAATAAACTACAGTTTCAAAAGCAAAATCCCATAATTTATACGGAACAGAGGCACGAGCTAGGAGAGCTAAATCCATTTCAACTATGTGTCTATATTTTCGTTCGACACAACCGTTTTGCTCATGGTTGTATGCACATGATTGTCTATGAATAACTCCTAACTAAACAAAAGAATGATGTAATTTTTTTATTCAACTCCTAAATCAGATTGAATGGATTTAATTTTTCTGTTAAAAAATGTTCAACCATTGTACGAAATTTATCAAAGATGATATACATATCAGATTTTAATTTCATGGGAAACTACCAGGTGTAGCAGGTATAATCATCCACAAAAATGACAAAATAGCGATAACCATCAATGGACATTAAAGGAGCTGGACCCCAAATATCTGTATATATTAAGTCAAGAACACTATAACTGGATGACTCAACACGTGACAATGGAAATCAAGCAGATTTTCTCAATTGACACGCATTACACAAATTAGAATTACAACGAATAGAATTACTAGACCCACTAACCGAACATGACTGGAGAATACGAGGTAAAAACACAATGATGTGGATGTCCTAAACGATCATGCCATACTGACGGAGATGTACGAGCAGAAAGAAACGCGGAAGGAGACGAACTAGCGATTGGAAGTCTATATAGACCCCGTAGCTATTGCCTTGAAGTAGAACTTCCTTGGTGTTGGTATCCATCACAACAAAAAAGGATGGGTGAAACTCAAAAACCACTTTATTATTCGAAGCAAATTTTTGAACAGATAATAAAGATGTAGACAAACTAGGAATATGAAGGATATTGGACAATTGAAAGAACGAGATGAGGTATTAAAGGAAGCATGACCAACACGACTAATAGAAAGTGTCTTACCATCACCAACACGCAATGTGTCATTAACTGTGTACTCTTCAGATGTAGATAGGGCCGCAATATCTGGAGTCACATGATTGGTTGCCCCAGTGTCAGGAATCCATACCCGAGGGCCATTGATATCTGAATTAGTATTCTGATATGTCAAATTTGCCTGTGGAGGAGGATCATAACGATTGTAACACGCCAAAGCTAAGTGACCGGTGCGGCCACAAATTTGACACATAGTTGGACCGTCATTGCCGCCATGGCACGTTGACCACCACCTCGGGCACCATGCAACCGGGCACCGCCGACACGTTGCTGCCCCCGTTTTGACCGCCGCTGTTGCTGCCGCGACTACCTCGACGGGTCTGTCCTCCACGCTGGGCAACAAACGCTGCCGGCGCACCGCCAGTGACGGTTCCTCGTATGAATTCTTGGGTGCCAATGAAATCGGCTAGCTCTCCAAGGGTAACTGTTGTCTGCGAACCGAAAGCGATGCAGTCAGGTTTTGAAACTCTGGCTGTAAACCCTGAAACACATAAAGATTCATCTCGTCCAATCCACCCCGTCGACCGGCCATGGATAGGTCCTCCATAATAACACGTGCACGCCCAATATAATTGGCAACCGTGGAATCTCCCTGACTAAGAGACTGAAGTTGGCCAAGGAGATTTAGGGACCGGGCACGAGATGCGGAAGCTAAAGATTGTCCGATTGACTCCCAAACCTCTCGTGCCGTACGACGTCCAACAGTAAGGTGCATGAATTCCTCGAAGAGATGAAATTAACATAGACATAAGAGCCCGGCCATGACGAAACCACATCGTGTAGGCAGGGTTTGACTCGAGTAGGGCGTCGTTGACGCGGGTAGGAAGGGAGCTGGACACGGGTAGCTCCAATCGACGAACGGCATGAGACCGTGTCCGTCAAAAAATGGCACGACTTGAGTTCTCCAAAACAGATAACTCTTGTGGGTGAGCTTAATACTAATAAAGTGATGAGCAGTAGAAAGCGAATTGATAGCCATGCTAGCGGAAGACGTGATAACAACATCAAACGTGGTCCGTTCGGAAGAATTAACAGATCCTTCAGCCATGGGAATAAAGACAAAAACCCTAGCTTAACTGATACTAGATGAGAACTGTATAAACTATAATTACAATTGTACATACTGGAGGAATATATACAAGAGGAATTATAGAGAGACTAGGACCGGGAGTCATACAATGACTCAAATACAAGAGAGTCCTAATACTAGTCCTAATAACACCACTCTACCCATGTTGAATAATCATTAAAAACATCAATGTATTAATCTTTTTTAATTTGTCCAATAATTATGATTCACTTTGAATTATGTTAATAGGCAAATTATACCATGGACTAGGTCTACCTTGCACTGTAGACCTTGGTTCAAAAATAACCTTCAGGTTTTGTATCTATAGTTGACACATTCTGTATCTGCAGTTGATAGTTTTTGTACCTGTAGCTATCATATTATGTAACCTTCAGATTTTGTATCTATAGTTGACACATTCTGTACATGCAGTTAATAGTTTCTATACTTGTAACTATCACATTATGTATCAACGATTATCAAGTTATTTGTTTAC